GGGCCCAGTTCCCTCTGCAGAGCACAGGGCTGGGAGCAGCTGCCCGGCCCTGGGGGCTCTGGCAGGGGGCACAGCTGGCTCAGGGTGATGCTGTCCCCAGTGCCTGGCTCTGGGCAATGCTGTCAGTGCAGCAAGGGAAGGAGATGCATCTCCCTTCATCCAGTGTCAGCATAAGGACATCTGGAAGTCTCCCTGAGATTTCAGTCCAGGCTGGGAGCTCCAATCCAGGTGCAAACCTGTCCTAGAGCATCTCTGAGTTATAAGATTGATGGGAAAGGCAGAGGTGTTCTTAGACTGAAAATGCTTCTGGGTTGGAGAAGTAAGCAATGTGAGTACTTGGCTACAAATGTGGAACTGGGCTGTTGTGGATCCATCTGCTCTCAGTACCTGGGTCTTTCTAAGAAAAACATGGGAGTGTGAACATTCTCCATTTGAGAAAAGAGAAAGCCCGGAAAAACTCCAAACCGAAGTAAGTGACAGACCATCTCCCCTCAGGCACCACTCATCATCTTCCCTCAGGGAACTCACTCTATTCTACCTGAGTGCAGCAAAAATTCTGTGGGTTTCTGATATCCAACAGCAACCCTTCAGATAATGAGGAATTTATAAAGAAAACCTCAAAACTAAAAAAAAAAAAAAAAATGAAGACCATATCTGTGTGTTACAGAGGAGGGTGTATGGGAAATGTTTTTGTTTACAGGTCTAACACTTCACTGTCCTTTTCTCAGTGAACAGGGCCCCATGTCCCAGGCAACAAATGTCCAACAGCAGCTCCATCAGGCACTTCCTCCTGCTGCCATTGGCAGACATGTGGCAGCTGCAGCTCCTGCACTTCTGCCTCTTGCTGGGCATCTCCCTGGCTGCCCTCCTGGGCAACGGCCTCATCATCAGCGCCGTAGCCTGCAGCCACCACCTGCACACGCCCATGTTCTTCTTCCTGGTCAACCTGGCCCTCGCTGACCTGGGCTGCATCTGCTCCACTGTCCCCAAAGCCATGCACAATTCCCTCTGGGACACCAGGAACATCTACACAGGATGTGCTACTCTGCTTTTTCTTTATGTTCTTCATTGGAGCAGAGCTTTATCTCCTGACCATCATGTGCTACAACCACTACGTGTCTATCGGGGCACCAGGGTAGCTATAGATCCAATGGTGTCAGGAACCCACGTCTTAAGAGAGGATCCCACTTGCCGAAGCAAAAAGTCCAAATATGGACAACACTGGACAAATCCAGACCAGCCTTTTTTTTTTTATTATTAGCACATCAGTCTCAGATCATTGTTACAATGAAATTAGATGTTAACAGCATGCTGGCCTAATGGGAAATGCCACAGAAGGTGGGGTAGAACGGAATGACATAAAATCATCTCAGTTTAGACTTCAGCCAATCAGACAAAAACAAGACATATTGACAAGCTTTCCATCCAACCTTATAAAACATACATAATGGTAGTTAAAACAAAGACTATTTCATAAGAAACAAAGAACAGAGCTCTATTCACAGTAACCTTCTAAAGATATACATTAAATAAACTTGTTGTCATCATAAAGCCAAATCTACAAAGACGTATTGTTATTTGTCACGTCTACTGCTTGGGAAACTTTTCTGCTTGCTTGGGAAATTTTCTGCTTGCTTGGGAAACTTTTCTGCTTGCTTGGGAAACTTTCCTGCTGTAACAGAACTTCGGGCCACATCCTGAGGCCTAAATACTCTTTTTTAACCATTTCCTAAAAACCCTCTGACTTTATGGATTCCCACATTTCCCCCTCTCTGTTTGACCTAGAATTTTTCATTTTCTTGTTGCTTACTACTTGCATTTCATAGCTCTACTGCAAAATTTCTGCTTATTATCTGTTGGAGACCTATTTGCACTAAAGCACTGCTATATTATGGCACAGCAACTTAATGCTGTGAAGGCCCCATCCTTGAAAGAGATATCACGTTTGGTAATAGTTACAAGTCATTGTTCAAAAAACTCTGGTCGATTCCAAGGTCTTAATTAAAAACCTTCGTTCATGTCTATACCTTCATCTACTGGTTTCGTGAGATTTCGAACACTCTCTGTGCTTCTACCTCCTAAATCTCCTGCTTGTATGACAAAAACTTCTTGGACTGTTTTGTTCATCATTCGC